TGTGTGTGTGTGTGTGTGTGTGTGTGTGTGTGTGTGTGTGTGTGATTGGCATATCGTCAACATCTTAGATCTCGGGCCGATGACTCCTGTATCAATCAATCTGAAAGCGCACACACACACACACAGAAAGAGAAGAGAGGCGATATCAAAGAGAGGACCCCATGGCAGGCAACAAGCTGGGGGGAGGGGGGGGGAAGAAAAAACAACCCACGAATGCCGCCCGAAATGTGGGGAGAAAGGTGGGGTGCAGGTGAATAGGCTAACCAGATATCCGAAAAAAACAAGACTTACCAATTACAAGTCAACCGATGGAGAGGTTGAGCGGAGCATGACACGCGTGGCAGCGTCAAATTGGCGGATCTCTATAGCAGAGCGCCACGCGGTGACGACGACGAGGCCACAAAGGAGGCGGAAAAGCCTATTATGAATGACGGAGGAGGGGAAGCCTGCGATGGAAGAGGAGGAAAGGCCTGTTATCACGGAGACCTACCGCTTTCTATCCCGCCTCGCGCCTTCCCTTCTCAAACCGCCACGCACAGCTTTCCACGCGTTGACCTTTTGGGCAACCCGCGCCCCGACGGGACGGCACGCCCGAACCTTCTTCTCCCCGCCCGTGGGCCCGCCGGCCCGACACAACGAAGGGCCTCGTTCCACACCACCTCACTTGAAACTCGAGCGCGCACTCGAAATGAGCGGGATAATGGTCCTCGCTGCACTACTCTCGACATGCACAAAAGACAAAAATCATGGCGGTGCATCTTTCCATATTCTAGCAGAAGATTCACTCTCGTTTTGCACATTTCGAGAGTAGTGCAGCGACGCCCAATGCAGCTTCTGTTTGTTTATCTCAGAAGAACGGGAAATGAGCGCGACACAACGAAGCGCAGAATTGCTTATTCTTCAATATCTCATATGCTGCAACAGCTGGCTGAGCTGGGGCGAACCTCGCCCACACTGTAGAAAAACGAGAATGGGGTAGAAAAACGAGAACGGGGGGGGGGGGGGGGAACTATCGGGAGCCAAGTCCCACTAGCAGCGTGTAGTTGTAGTGACCCACAACGGTGGAACAAGATTGAATGGAGGGAAAGTTATGTGTGACACGAGTTTAGGCGGGAAAGTTTGGCCCTCTTACTGCGTCCATGAGATTCTGACAGATCCAACGTGCTCTGTTACTTCGGCTCTCACCTTTTTTTTTTTCCCTTTTTTTTTTCCCTTTTTTTTTTTGAACCTGGGTTATCCTCACATTGTCATATTCCGAAAGCGAAATTCAATTGAGGCCGGGGACCTCACAATTCCACCCGGGGTTATCCTGGCAGCATTAGCCGGTTTAGCTTATGGTATCTGTTCCAAAATGCAGAGTGTTACACCTTTCTCGGCCTTTTGTAGTATCTGTTCTGATGCAGAGTGTTGCTTCACTTCAGATAGTGACCACTAACTATGGGCCTCGCTGCACTACTCTCGAAATGTGCAAAACGAGAGCGAATCTTCCGCTAGAATATGGAAAGAGACACAGCCATGATTTTTGTCTTTTGTGCATGTGGGGAGTAGTGCAGGGAGGCCCTATTTCCTATCTATTCCTGCTCTCACCTTTCGCCCAGAGAATGGAGGCCATAGTTCTCTCTCCCTGTACTGGCCTTGTTGAGTCGGAGGATCTGTTGACACAGATTTGCTGGTGGATCTCATGATGTGGATACAGGATATCTGACCTCTGACGCTCCAATAGAAAACGGGCTCTGACAGAGAGGAAGGACACGTAGAGAATAAAAAGAAAAGAAAGAGGGAACGCGCTCACTATCAGGGGCTCGGACCCACTAGCCAAGTCTTTTACGATGTGTGATGCAATTTTGGCAATTTTATCATTTGTTTTATTCGTTTCTTCCAATAGCTGAGAATGTGAATTTTTTTTTTTGTTGTCATCTTCGTTTGAATGGTGTGGGCCTGGATCCACGGCCTGCTGCCACAATCTGTGTCAGGTATGGGTGCTTCGGTATGTCATACATTCGTCCCCCGGACGTTGTGGACCGCCGCATTCTTGGACGTGCCACGTGGATTGTCTGCACATCCACCGACAAGTAGAAACGCATAGTTTCCGGTTCGGGATGTTGCCCTTGGCACACTGTAGTGGAGTGCCCCTTTGTCATGGGTGTGGTGAGGAGGGAGTCTCCGCTCGGTGGAACCGTGCGATAGATGCGTTGCAAGGCTTGAGATCTTGGGCTGCCGCTGGAAAAGAGGTGTCACTTCCTTAGTCGAGTTTGGGACGAGTTTGAAAGCACAGGCTTGCATGGTCCTCGCGGTGTGTAGATCAAGTGTGAGGGGTGGGGTGGGTTAAGTTACGGTGAGTTGTTTAGGGGTGGGCCCACAGTGGGGGGTGGTTGGGAGTTTTTGTGCTTATAGGGGTGGGGGGGGAGAGGATATTCGACTTCGGTCTGTGCTCCCAAACAAAAAAAAAAAAAAAAAAAAAAAAAAAAAAAAAACAATCAGTTAACTGTCATGGGGACTAGCGATGCCGGGGCTAAGGAGGAGAGATCGGGAGAGAGTGGATGTGGCCGCCATGGCCATAGCAAGCCGGATTGCAGAAGACGCCATGGCCATGGTGGATATTATCCTAGGTCATTCAATGAAGAGTTTGCTTGCTGCAGGCCCTGCAACTCACGCATGCCATGGCGGGGGCTATGACGAGGAGGAGGATGGCAGGCCCGATTATGGCGTGCAATTGTGGACATGCTCAATCTCCACCCCACGCACGCAGATGGGCGAGCTCCGCTGTGAAACGTCTCTGTGCTTCACGGTCAAGCCTCGTGCAACGCTGCGACCAGCTAGTTATCCAGCACACGCATGCGAGCCGTGAGTTGGAGAGGCGGAGGAGGACGTGGGAGGACAGCCGAACGCTACAAGAGAATGCATCATCGATCGGGGGGGAGGCAATTCATCAGAGGGATGTCGCCATGCGTGAGAGGGATGATGCTATGCGTGAGAGAGATGACACCTGGAGGAGGTTGGAGGTGTGGAAGCTGATTTGCACGTTGCAAGGGAGCAAGCAGACACATCGTGGAGATTCGTGGAAGAAGTTACAAATGGTGGAGGAGGAGTGAGCGACGGGGAGCATGACGTGTGCGCAGAAATGCACAATCTTTCGGTTGCAGGCAACGGGAAAGCATTGCTGCTTGACAAGTCTACGGATGTCGGGTCCAGTAGTTCCACTGCACAGGGATCAAGATGTCAGTCGTGCGATGAGATGGTTGATTGTCTCAACGATTTGGAGTCTAACATGGTGCACCTGCAAATGACAAACGAGATTTTGTCTTATCCCGCATCGTTCTGGGAAGCGTTGGACAAACACATGCAGTCTTTCGTCCCGCCCGAGAAATTCCCTCTGCCTCCTGGCAAGCGTTAGTCTGTCTTCCAAAGATAAGTGCAGGCAGGGACGAGAGAAAGAGAGAGCTAGACAAGAAGGTTGAGAGAGAGAGAGAGGAAGAGAGAGCTAGGCAAGAAGGTCGAGAGAGAGAGAGAGAGGGAGAGAGAGCTACACAAGAAGGTTGAGAGAGAGAGAGGGAGAGAGAGCTAGACAAGAAGGTCGAGAGAGAGAGAGGGAGAGAGAGCTACACAAGAAGGTTGAGAGAGAGAGAGAGAGAGAGAGAGAGAGAGAGAGAGAGAGAGAGAGAGAGCTAGACAAGAAGGTCCAGAGAAAGAGCTAGACAAGAAGGTCCAGAGAGAGAGAGAGAGAGAGAGAGAGAGAGAGAGAGAGAGAGAGCTACACAAGGAGGTCCACAGAGAGAGAGAGAGGCGGACCACCTTTTCTGTGCTCATTGGAACATCGCCTTCATGGCAGCATTTTTTTAAGTTTAGTATATGTATGGCCCCTCCAAGGCCCCATCATGTCTAGCAGTGTCATGTGCTAATTGCTGCCTGGTTTTTTATGGTTTTTTTTTTCATTTTCTCGCCACATCGTCGGTGCGAATGCATATGCCTATATATGTGTGAGTTTACGAGTGTGTTATTCAAGTTGTGCGTGTCTGTGTGTAAAATATATGTCATTGTGTGTGTCAATGTGCAAAACATGTGTTACTGTGTGTGTTTGTGTGATTCTGGATTATGATATCAAACGAGCAAGTTATGGACTGATACGACCAACTTTCTGTTTTTTTTAGTGGCATATGCTTTGTGCCCTATCTCAAATCACGTTGTCCGACCAAATACCCTTACAAGGGTATTTGCCCATGTTTTTGAGGTCGACACACCGATTGCACCAACCACCATGACGGAATCGGTTTGAACTTAGATGTGTATGTGTCTTTCACGCCGCACTTTCCTCGACCATTGAGGATGGGGCAAATAGGTTTAACTTAGAAAATTTTGTTAACTATGTGTGCACGTTGTTATGAGGCGCGTTGTGATAGCTAGGCTCGGTAGTAATATTCTCAGACCGAAAAGGGTTGAGGGGTCGATTGGATTATATCGAGAAAACTTACGACGCAGAGACTTTAGATGAGCTAAACTAGAATACGCCCCGACCATATGGTCGGAGCAATAAAAGGAAGTAATTGTCGGATTTTGCAGTATCACCCTGAACATGTTTGCGGCATGTCATCCAAACTTGTATTCCACAAACAGAGGATGAGGCTACCGCTCGGCCTCCTGTATGTAGAGAGGGAGTTACCCCTTGGATGGTGACTTTCTGACCGCGTGGCCACCCGAGCGACCGGTGTCTTCGTACCTTTATAGAGGGAGACACCGTTGCAAGCTTTGATATCGTTCGCACAGAGCCTAGACTCATACTACTATAACTGGTACTCGCCTACCTAACGGTACTGGGCCTCTGAAAATGCCAGTCTTGTATTCTTCTGCTCGGCCTCGAATACCCGACGCGTCTACTTTATGTGGTACCGACCTACCCGCTACTTGAGTGTTTTCAACAACCCTTAAGTGTCGCGGGCCTCTTTCCCCGCCGCTTGAGTGTTTTCCCCATCACGATCCTCAATGTCTCGGTCCTTGGTAAGTCCTGACCCTTCGGGCCCTTCGGTGAGTTAAGTACCTTTGCGGGTCACACACGTGCTCAAGCCGACAAGCACTCGAGACGGAGCGCAAACCAACAAACATACTCGCACACAGACTCAGAAAACGGGCTCAACTGAGCCCCAATACACTATTCGTATCTGAGCTAGCTCCTTTTTGACAAGGAGCTCAACAATATTTTGCCCCGACCTTGGGTGGCAAGGACTTGGACCTGCGACCTGAGTATTAGGATTAGTTGTAGTTAGCTGGTTAGTTGAGATTTGGGCGCCCACATAACGGGGACTTGACACTTGGCCGATATAGGTAGTTTTGTTGGATTTTATTATTATTTTTGTTTTGCTTTTTTATGTTAGATGTTTTTTTTCTTTTTTTTTCTTCTTGTTTCTATTTTATTTCTTTTCGTTTTAACTGTAGTTTCACAAGATTCACGTTCATGAATATGCCTCCGAACTCTGAGCAGATTCAAATAAGTAAAGTAGCAACGAACTGAC